GATATTATTCAGCAGCCTAAGCCGGTGCCAATTGGCCAGTTCCAGGGTCCTGGAAGAGGCAGGGTGCAATGGAATCTAGGCTCTGAAGGATAGAAGAGTCGGGTCTTGAGTCATCGGCTGGTCGGGGTCAGAGAGATGATGTGATGGATGCTGCGTACCCTTGAATTGCTGGAGGGTGGTTGGACTTGTTGGTTAGAGTTATTCTTATTGCGCGAATGCTATCATCTTGAGTTTGAGTATGATTCTATCGATCCAGCCTACTCGAGTTCTAGCTGTGACTCACCAGCAGCGTGCCTTGATCCAGACCGTAGAACTAAAGATTCCGTAACGCTTACTGTGATTACTGCTAGTATAATTTACCTCGGCATGAACAGTCACTCAATTTATGACTGAATCCTGATATGCGTAATAGACTTGAAGCTGTACGAATATCTTGATGATGACTCACTAGCCTGTAAAAGACATACTTTCTTGTATCATTGGAAGGAGCGTGACTTTACGCATACGTAGTGTAGTGAAATGAGCTTACATACCATGGTTGGTGAAGTTGGGGGAAGGGAGTGATGAGTCGCAACACCCTATTAGCGCGAAATCTTGGCGGCGCACCGCACACATTGAATTGCCCCACCGGCCGCCGCCACTTCTCACTTTCTGTATCATAAGGGACCCCGACTACCTCCCAACCCGTCACCCCCAACAACACAACCACAACCGCAAATATGTCCAAAACAGCAGGGTGAGTTTATGCGCACCTTTTACGGCCTTTCTACACCTACCATCCTCCCATGTCGCCCCTACGTCGCTCTAAGCCGCTCATCAAGCCACGAGCTTCTGCATACATCTCTCCGGGTTCTAGAGCATCAGGCTGACAGTACTGCTATAGCCGCACCGACTGGGCAGAAGAAGAAGACGAGGAGTCCTCCCTCACCTCCCTCCCACCCCAACAAGTCATCAAGAACAAAGACGGAACCGAAACCGTAATCTCCTACCGCATCGGCGAAGACGGCAAGAAATACAAGACAACACGGCGCATCAAGAAGACTGTCGTAAAGCAAATCGTAAACCCCCGCGTCGCCGAACGAAAGCAATGGGCGAAGTTCGGACAAGAAAAGGGCAAGCCCGCCGGCCCCCAAACAGACACCGTCTCGGTCGCTGAGAACATCGCCTTCCGCCCCGTCTCCAACTGGAAAGCCAGCAACGAAGATAAGGGCGACGAAGCAAAGAAGAAGGCAGAGCTCAAGAACGCAAAGATCAAGTGCCGTATTTGCCAGGGCGACCATTTCACCACAAAATGTCCCTTCAAAGACACCATGGCCCCCGAAGGCGACGTCGCCCCCGCAGAAATGCCCGACGATGCGCCCGGCGGTGCAGGAGGCAGTCTGGGCACCGGCTCTGGCGGCTACGTTCCCCCTCATCTGCGTGGCCGTGCGGGCGCAGGCGAGAAGATGGGCGGCAAATTCGACCGCGACGACAGCGCTACCCTGCGTGTTACCAACGTGTCTGAGTTCGCCGAGGAACAGGATCTGCGCGACATGTTCTCCAAGTACGGGCATGTTACTCGTGTTTTCCTGGCCAAGGACAGGGAGACGGGCCGCGCCAAGGGCTTTGCGTTTGTTAGTTATGCGGATCGGAGTGATGCTGCCAAGGCGTGTGAGAAGATGGATGGATGTAAGTTGCAGCACGCAGAGCTTGTGATATGGGGAGATGCTAACTTTATTCAGTCGGTTTCGGGCATCTTATCCTGCGTGTCGAGTTCGCTAAGAAGGCTTAAGCGGAGAGTATCTGTGCATGGCTCAATGATCGTTGCAATTTGGCGTTCAGGGTGGTTTCACGGGCTATGACATCTGTAGACGTGTGTCTTGCATGCATGGTACATGATAGCTATCGTTTGTGACTTCATACGTCAGACGAGGCGACTTCTCATGAATATCAATGATGGAGTGTTCGCTTTCAACTCAATCTCTCATGTCGCCCACCATCAAGTCACATCAGCAGGTAGTAAAGACAAACCAACAAGCACGTACTCTGGCCCCTTCCCACTTCAACGCATTTGTTCAAATATATCATTAACTTGATTCTCCCATTCCATCACTTTCATCTCTACATACACATATACACGTACACAGCACAACAGCCCAGATCGTCCGACAAGGAGGGTCGGGCCGCTGTTCCAAATCCAACCCAGAGCCAACACCTAGACCTTTTTCTAAGAGACCCTACGTAAAAAGGATCTTTTATCCTCCCGTATCATGAACGCCAGCTTTATTGTACAAGGTGGGCAGGGCCCGCAGAGTGGTGAGGAGGAGGGTCTTGCGCTAAGATCGACTCGTGTAAATGCGGGACAAACGTCGAACTGCAGTGGAAGGTGAGAAAGAAGATTGCTGCGCCAGGTTTCGCGATTGGGGCTCGTCAGGGTAGCGGTAGAATGGTATGTATTTGCTGCGCGCAATTCCTTTTATCTTTGCTTTAGTCGACTTGTTTTAGGTCGGGCTCGAAGAAGACTTTTCGTGTTATCTGGTGGGCTGTTAGCTTTCGTTATAGCAGAACCAAGAACTGGTTGAACATACCGCCCATCCTCCCGCTACAGTCGCGCAGATACCCGAGCTAATAGCCATCTGCCTCGTCCCTCTTGTGCTCTTGAACAGCGCGCCGCTCAATGCGCCCGCCACCACGCTGTTGCTCATATCGTGCTTGCCGCGGTAGTACCCAATCGTGCTGTTCATACCATTATACACCATAGCAATCACGCCCGCGCTGTTTCCCAGAAAAGGACCTCGCCGTGTTATCGCATTGAGCACGCCGTTGATGCGCAACCGCGGGGGCATGCTGGGCGGGTTCTTTTGCAGGCCCTCGGCTAGTCCCCACGCTCCTCCTATCGTCAGCGCCGTCAGATACGACACGCCCGTGCCGTAACATAAGTCGTCGGACCAGCCGCGTGAGGGTAGAGCGGATTGTGCGCCGGGCAGGTCCGAGAGGACGCTGTCTTCGAGGTTTAGGTAGTCGAGTGTGTCTTGGTTGAGGCCAGCGAGGGGATGCAGTTGTGAGGGGTCGAGCAGGAATTCGGAGGGGTTTTGGATGGCCGTGTTGGGGTCGAAGGGTGTGGGTTGGAAGCTGTCTTCTTTTACGAAGTCGGCATTTTGGGGCGAGGCGGGCGCGGGTGCCGTGTCCTTGGACTTGCGTCCGGTTATGGAGTCCCAGCTAGCAATGGATTAGCATTGGTGTGACTGGGAAGACGCAGGATATTAGAGTTTATACATACATGGTCATGTTGAAGATGTCAGGTTGTGATGGCGGCGTAAAGAAATGTTGCGCCTGATTGTCAACAGCCGCACGAACAAAATCCCCCAGACGCCCGAAAAACCTCTATCAGACCGACGCAGCTAGGAGAAACAGCAGAAAAGAGGCAGGTGGTAGATGCGCGGGTATGGGATAGCGTGGGGCGGCGGTTCGTGATGCTCACGAAAAGTTCTGGCGAAGCAACTTGGGCAATGACGGTCTTGACGCACGGCCCACCTTCTCGAAGCCTCCCTGCTTCCGAGCTCGGAAAGGAACGAGATCGGAAAGAAAAGTTCAGACAGCCTCACCCACTTCGGGATAACGACAAAACAACAACGATTCCGACCATGGCGCTCCCCGAATACAAGCAAAACTTCCTCAAAGACTGCGTCTCAGCCGGCGCATTGAAATTCGGCACCTTCACCCTCAAGTCCAAGCGCATATCACCCTACTTCTTCAATGCCGGCCTCTTCCACCGCGCCGACCTCCTCCGCTCCATCTCCTCAGCCTACGCGCACACATTGAAGAACCACGGCGACTCCGACTCTTCGTTCCAATGGGACATTCTCTTCGGCCCAGCCTACAAGGGCATTCCCCTAGCAGCAGCCTCAGTCGACAAGCTCGCAGATCTGGACATGGCCAAGTACGGACAGAAGAGCTACAGTTTCAACCGCAAAGAAGCCAAAGATCATGGTGAAGGTGGCAACATTGTGGGCGCGAGCCTGAAGGGAAAGAAGATTGTTATTGTGGATGATGTCATTACGGCTGGTACGGCGATTAGAGAGGCTATTGATATTATCAAGAGGGAGGGGGGTGAGCTTGTGGGCATTATCGTGGCGTTCGATAGGCGGGAGAAGATGCCGACAGCGACTGATGACGATGGAAAGCCCGGTCCCAGTGCAATTGGCGAGGTTAGGAAACAGTATGGAATTCCTGTGCTCGCTATCTTGACGCTGGATGATGTTGTGGAGTATTTGAGGAGTTTGGGTGGAGAGGAGGATCTCAAGAGACTAGATGAGTATCGGGAGAAGTACAAGGCGAGTGATTAGGTGTATCTGGTGGGGTGTTTACGAAGTTATGATTATGGGAGTATGGGTGATGGGAACGGGCGGGTGATGGAATACCCCGCATGCGTTGCGGTCAATACTGCAAGCATTCTAAGTCCACATGTTCTTCTTGACTCCGTGAGACTGTGAGGCGATCCTCGTAACAATAAACGGCTGTGTCATTGGGGTAAGATGCTACATCAAAGAAGACACATTAATTATTGTTATACTCCTATGGTACAGTTACAGAATTATACACGCGTTCAACAAAGGGTGGGTATCTTATATCATTGCTCCTGGCTAAACGAACAAGATGCATAGTCACCTCGATGCATATCTGGATCCAATTCGAGAGATATGACGGGCAAGAATCGTCTGAGTCCGAACCGTCTGAATCAGAAGAGCACTCCATGACAAGATCAAGCTGGACAGCTGGCCTGACTCCGACGTACCTGCTCCGCAAAACTCATCTCTTTGATAGCCTATTATCTTTCTTTATGTTTTGCGTCCCGAGAATTGACTCCGCTAGCTTCCTCTCCCTGTATTCATCGTCGCTGGAACCGGCTTCGCTGGGATCGAAAACAACGGGCTTGTCTTTGTCGTCTTTGTCGTCTTTGTCGTCTTCGTCCGAGCTGATGCCGTTTGCACTTGAATGGCTTCGACAGGATGTTTGATCGATTAATCTGTAGTAGAGACTTGCGCAGTAGAGTCATGTTCGCCAGCATCGTCCGCGTTGACATCGTCTTCGCTAGCGTCGTCTGCGCTTGAGTCCTCTTCGCTGAGATCGTCTTCGCCAGCATCGTCTTGACTAGCATCGTCTTCGCTATCATCTTCGCTATCGCTATATTCTGATGAATCAGGATAGAAGCCGGGCGGAGTGTTGAGCGCAGGATGAGCATAATTCTTGGGGTCATAATCTGGCTCATTCTCGATAAGGTAATGGCGTTCCGAAAATGCGATCCACGGATCCTAGATACCGGTTAAAGCATTAGCTACCGACTTGCGTTTTCAGGGGTTGATCGCATGGTTCGAGGACTCATTTATAGGTCATCATTGGGAGGTCAAATAAGCACTTACCTCGTGATATTCCTTGAGGATATAGTCATCCAGACTGTCCAGATACTCTCTCGCATCTTGCCTCCACTGTTCACTTCCACTCGTATCTCTGAGCACCTCGGTGAGGTCAAACTCTATGTCGTCGTACCTGTTAAACGGATGCCCCCATTTGAAACGCAAATGCCCTCCTTCGCGTTCATATGCCTGAAGAACAGGTCTCAGGAGTTCGATCCACGGGACCCACAAGTTTAACCTGACCTCCTGTTGAACCAATTCGATATGGAGACTGAAATTCCTCTTCTTCCTGATACTCATCAGGGTCTTGACAAGCGTCTCGCCTTCTGCATCGATGTCTGTATTGGATTCCCAAAGACAAACATACAGTGACTGCAAAACATCTGCGGGAATAAGTCCAACATCCCAAATATCTTGACAGACGACTCGTTCCGTTGATGCTATGGTGATGTATTCAACTGGACCAAAGCCATCAATGTCGGGATAGCTGCCAGAATCGCTACGGTCGGGTTGTACCTCGTACCACTTCACCATAACTTCGTGGGCTATTTTCAAACCCATGAAGCGGCTTTGAATGAAGTGCGGCAACTCTCTGCGGCAACTCTCAGCCTTGAGACGGTATTGCATCGACTCTTCATGATACTTGAATGCTTTCTTATCCCAAATATAGTCGAAGATCATCGCTCTCAGTTCGGTCGGTAGACGGGTCTCTATCTCACGAGCGAATTGGAGATTCCATAATTCGCTGTATTTCGTGACAGCGGCCGGCCATTCTCTAAAGCGAACTCAGTGGTTAGTCTACGCAGTTTTTGTTTCGTACAAGGAGAGAAACTCACTCTCTGAGGATTTTCGTTTGCTGTTTTGCGGTGCGCTTCTTTGGGGCCTCGAGTTTGTTGCGAATGCTGTACGTATGTCAGTTTCCGCGTTTTCCGTCACGTAGGTGGTCTTACTCCACGAGGGTCTGATACGCGGCCTGGACATCGTCCTGTTGGACCGGTGTGGAATTGGCAGAATGGATAGGTTGCGCCTTTGGCTTAGACTTCGGTTTGGTCTTTCGGGCCATAGCTGGCAAACAAAGAAACGGTAATCGAAGAGCTCACGTCTCTATGTGTGCTGTGCAAACCCGCAGGAGTGTTTAGGTGTAAAGTGCGAGTGTCACAGAGTTGGCGAGGGGATGACGCGTCGCTAGCGCGTCTCAAAACGATTAAACACGCGTGTCCCTTGCTTCCCCATGCTAAGCAACCCGCTTGCCGCGTACCGATTGCAGACTTCAACCGGCAGCAACGTGCAGACATTCTTTGCCCATACACCGATACTACTCGACGCCCAAGGCGCAAACGCTAGCAACAGAGACCAGCCTAGCGAAGATATGAGAGCAGCGGCGCTTGCGGGCCGCAGACCATTCTCCGTCGGCGGCACAGTGCAGATGTGGGGCGGCATGCGCTGGAAACCCTACTTAGGTAAGGCAAGGCAGACACCTGCAATAGAGATCAGCGTATCGGAAACAACACACAGTGGAGCAGTGACGCTGTTACATTGGGATGGGAAGCTGAAAGGATCTTTAAGCTTCGGAGACTTCTTTTAGGCACCCAAATTGTGACAAGAAGACGAGGTTCAAGGGCATGTCCAAGAGCGCTTTCCTGTCTCCATTATCCCTCGTTCTGTACTCTACTCATTCAGTGAACGACACAAACACAACCGCGAACTCAGCATGCATCACCTCCGTGATGCTCTACTGGGCGCCTCACCGGAGGGCCCTCCCGAACTCAACCACCTAGACAATGTGGCTCATGACGTCCTAATGGTTCGCGAAGACGTGGCGCGTGGGGAACTTGACGGACTCCGCGGAACAGCCTTCTATAATCGAACCGGGGTTGTCAGTGAGCGATACTGCAGCCTAGGAGATGGTATCGACTCTCTTGTGCACCACATCCACTCTGCGTGGCACATGTATTACCAAGTTGCTTTGCACACGGCGTATGATACGCGCGAGCAGGACCGCTTGGTTCTCGATATTGTGCGAATCCAGGGATTGGGGCCGTTGACCAGGCCCGCTACTGGGCACTACGGTATCGACATCGCGCGAACAGTAGATGGAACGGTGTGGAACGGTCAGTAATATCCCCGTACAAACTTTATGTGAGACACACACTGACGTTGTACACCAACTTTTAGATCTACCCTTTCTAGCCACTGACATGACCGGATTCTGGATCGAGAACTGCGCGGCCTTGAAGAACGCCCAACGACTGAACCTCGCATCCTTTCTGGCCAAGCTGGCGTCGACTCGCGTTAGCAAAGATCGAATCTGTCAGATCGCTCTTCTGCTGTTCAGCTCCACTTTTGAGGGAAGAAGCAGTATCGACGGAGGGCAGCCAGACGAACTTTCTACACACCAGACGATCTCGACTCTCGATCTAACGCAGCTCATGCCGTCTGTGTGTGCGTGGATCAAAGAGGCGGGTCACGTTCTTGTCCAACTCTCTGAACTCTCATGGAATGATTGTCCCAGTCATATCGGACAGGGTGGGCAACACTTCCTTGAATCCGACTTCGGGAAGCGGTCACCGACTGGTTTCACCCCGTGGAGATGGATGTATTGGCTCAAACGTCTTCATGAAATTCGTCAAGAAGCGAAAGAGGCAAATGAGAAGACTCTCGAGGAGCAGAGTACTGAGGCTATTGACCGCATGGTCAGCCAAGTACACGATCGTAACTCGGGGATTCTCAGGGCGTATCAAGATGGCGGGGACTTCTTGAAGCTGGACGATCATTTGGCGTGTTTGAGGGGTAGATAGATCGAATGCAGGCTATACAGTTATGACAAACAATTCTGTACACGTCCGTGCTAATGTGGGAGTAGTACAGTTGAAAAGAAGCCGGAAACCCAATATGCGCCTAAACAGCCCCACGCGCATGGATAACACGGAGGATAGGTAGGGGACGGTCCGCGTAACCCACATCGGGCCAAAAGTGCTACATGAAGGCGCATGTTGCGCGGCAATCTCGTGCTAAGCACCTAACATATGGCGCGGCAATCTTGCCCGGGTGTGCTAGACACATGCAGTGTGGTAGGTAACTTTGTGCTAGGCGCGGCGCAGCAACCTTATACTAGGAAGGCATAGGCAACACCGCAACCTTTATTTAGGGCCATGCGGCGTGGTAACTTTGTTTGAAGTGCATGCGGCGCAGTGACCTTGTACTGGATACATGCGGCATCGCAGCCTTGACGATTACGATGATCCCTCGAGACAGTGAACGATCTTTGGCCTCTGGCTGGAACACGACTGAAGATCTTGCTCTCACTTTTTAGGTCTTTCAGATAGAACATACTGCATCAAGTGTGTTGCTACTCCCTCTCCGTCTTCTTCTCAAGTTATTGAAAGACGACGTCACCTGCCGGGACATCGCGTGGGTAGGAAAAAACGAAAATGTGTTATGGCGAGCAAACTTGGAAAACGAATGTGATTGTAGTAATTTACGAGTGTAGAAGGGTGCTGCCTTCAAAAAAGAGCGTCGTTCCTGATGCCTCTCGAGCTCCGCTGAAAGCCTCAGCCTGTCAAGTATTGCGAATCGCTCACTGGGGACTACCACCAACCATGCGCTTTCTATCTGCATTCCAAGACCCCGTCATCGGAAGACTCCCGGCAAACTGCAATTCCATATCAATGTCCATTTCAACACATGTCGCGTAGAGAAACACTTACTTCTCGTAAGAATATAGCCCTCTCGATAGAACTTGCACGAATCGCCAAGCCTGTGCCTGCAATTGTTGGGGCAGTTGCATGCACTGATGGCATCGGGGGCAATGCGGACATCTCTAGTCTCGTTGAGAACCGCCTTCACTTCGCTGTTGGTTGTTGCTGGAGGGGCAGCCATAGCCTGTGCGGCGAAGAGGGCCACAGCGGTGGTAGCAAGGAGAGTCTTGAAGGACATTTTTGGGTTTGACTGATGATGGAACTGAGTTCAGAGTTTGCTATTGGTGGTAGATGGTTGGAATGGTGATGTTTGCGGTGGGGAACTGTGAAAGAGACATGCGTCTCATTATATGCTTTCAAATTCCAAATAGCAACTGCTCTTCCAACACCTGAGAAGGGTTCGGCTGTAGGCTCTCAGGCCAGTAGATGTGTGCCGCCGGTCTCTCCGTTGGTAGAAGGACGATCAAGACTCCACTGACCGACCGGTCCGTTCCTACTCGCATGCTGATGCGTCATCTTAATCCTTCAAGAAACTATCTTGATCCTTCGTTTCGCTTCTTCAGGCATCACATGTTGCTTTGGGGGGCGAAAGCGCCTGTTCCAAGTTCACATAAGAACTTGCACCGCCGATGCTGACCTGGATCTAGCTTAATGATGGTGTTGTCTTCGTAACGCTGTCATGTCTTGTGGCGGCGTAGTCTTCCCAACAATACCGATGTCACTGTACTCGAATCTTGTAGCCGGACCGAATCGTTACAAGCAAAGATCTGCGATACTCCGTACGATGCAACACCTTACTACAGATCCATATGCCACAACAGACCCTCGGAAGTTCTACTTTCCAAGCGTCGGTCCCATTCCCGGGCACATTAGCAAACCTACCATACGCCAGTGCAGCCTCCACACCATCATGACTGCAATCCAAGTTGTCTCACATGGACTTGCATAAAGGCATTTGATGTTGATCTTCTTCATGTTCGACTGGGCTACGCCTCACGACATGTCTTATGAAGCTTCGCACAGCAATAACGACAAAGTCTATTGACGCCTAGGCAACAAATGCTGCAGCATCAACCCGTTTCCTGGAACGACTCAGGTAACCAGTAGGCGGTGTCAAGACCCGAGGGTGCTGTATTGACATCAGCTAACCATCAACCTCTTATTCTCATCACTTGAACGTACCACATGCCCATCTGCCTAGAAGTGTGCTTCTTGCTACATTCGTCTTTGCACCATGGACTCACCCGGCAGAGCAAACACGCCGGCAGCGAGGAGCTTTAGTGATGAGCTAAGTGAGGGCTCGAGCTGGCACTCATCCAGTACATCGAGTGAGGATAGCATGTCTCCGGTCACACCATCTCTCCGTGAAAGATGGAGAGCCTGGAGAGTTTCGGTAGCCTGGCGCCGACTGCCACTACCGAGGTTAATGAATTCGACTCGTAGGAAAGGAAGGGGTAGATGGCCATGGTGGAAGTACCTCCTGATCGTTGTTGGAGTATTGCTGGTCTTCGGTATCATCGTAGGGATGTGGGTGGTCTCATGTTCGCTTCGTCGTGTATATGACTGACTCGAATCAGGGTGTACATATACCTCATCACCGCCCTCATCCACAAGTTTGCTCCTCCACCAAACCACAGCGGTCTCCAACATATCGTCGAGAGCTGGAGGGCACCGGATACCTACGGTGCTCATGAAGTTGCCTGGCGAGACGACTTTAGCCGCGACATCGTGCCCAAGAAGTGCCATTCACACAATGACTACTGGCGATCTGTACCGCTCTTTAGCGCACTTGTAGCCGGTTGTACAAGCGTGGAAGCAGACGTGTGGCTGGCGGACGACGGAGCGCTTCTTGTGAGCCACTCATGGGAATCGACTACGCCACCGCGGACATTGAAAAGTCTTTATCTGGACCCGTTAACGTGGATCTTGACGAAGCGTAATGTCTCCCAGGCATCTGTATACCACAGAGATATTGGGGTTTTCGACGCAGACTCAGACGCTTCTGTCGTTCTTCTAGTCGACTTCAAGAACGATGCGTATGCAATCTGGAACGCGCTCCTGGTACAGCTACAGCCTCTTCGGGATAGAAATTGGCTTACGTACTACGACGGCGAGAAGATGCATCACGGACCACTCACTATCGTCGGCACAGGCAATATCGCCCTGGAGTCTGTCCTATCGAACCACACCAATCGCTTTGTCTTCTTCGATGCGCCGCTTCTGTCTATTGCCACCGGCAACACTACTTTCAACAATACAAACTCGTACTACGCCAGTGTCAGTCTCAAAGATGCAATTGGTAAAATTTGGTTCAACCAACTGAGCGCAGAGCAAGAGAAGATCCTGAAGACCCAGATCGAGATGGTGCAGGAGACGGGATTAATGAGCAGATATTGGGATACTCCTGGTTGGCCGATTAGTTTGAGAGACATGCTGTGGTTTAAGCTCACGGAATTCGGCGTCGGAGTGCTCAATGTAGACGACTTGGTGTCGGCAACGAAGTGGAATTGGCATCAGTGCGTCGTCGCTGGCCTGACCCTCTGCTGACGTCACGTGCCAAAGAGCCGTTTCGGGACAAGCTCATGCCGCACAGAGCCTACGCAGAGAGAGCGCCGCCGTGTCACCTCGCGGGCATCAGCAGCCAACTCTTTCGCCCTTATTAGCATGCAGAAAATTGAATTTACATGGAAATCTACACTCTTGGTCGATTGAATGCAATGGTGACAGCTCTGCAAGCAGCCCTGGAGGGCAAGGAGATGCACGGACACGTATGCACCAACGCGTCTCTAGCGCGCCGGCACAACTGAACACATGCGCTTCACGGCGAAGAGTACACCGTCGCTTGTACGCACCTTCATATATTTCGCCGACACGTGCTATAGTCGCTTCTGGCGCTACGGTTACCGGAAGTGCTTCGACCTGTACTTTCTGTTTGATCGGCAATGGAGCTTGCCTTGGCAGATGGGTCACTTCCGTTACATCCCTCCACACTGGAGAGGTGTCCTTGCGCCGGCTTCACCATGGCGGTTTCATGAACAACACACTTTTTGGTGGCATCACCACACCCGGCATCTTTTCCTTCATCATTGCATGACACCTTAGACGAACTACATCGAATAAACCTTTCAGGCCACCCACTTGGTGTTGGCTGCTTACTTCTCACGACATCATTTCTCTTATTGTATTTCGATGAGAGACTACAGGTCTCCGCGTTTATCTCACAATGCGTAGGATTAAAGTGCCCCGCGGGGTGCCATACCAGCGGCCAATGTCAAGACAACATAAGCGCACCCTTATATATGCGCTTCTTTCGGCCGTCGCGTTCGGCGGGTATTACTGGTTGTACGCGCAGCCCACCGATGCGCTCGCCGTCGCATTCGAAGAGCACGAAGCATATATGCACGATGGATCGAGCCTCGCGCGCATCAAATCCGAGCAATCATATGATTGGCGAGAAGCGCCCTTTGTGAACACGATCACCTCCTACATACCGCTGCCGACTACCGCGCCTCGCAAACTCCCACGCGTCCAGTCCGAAGACTTTCCCGAAACAAGCGCGCAAAGAAAACAGAGAGAACAACGTAGAGTCGCCGTACGAGACGAATTCAGGCATAGCTGGAATAATTACAAGAAGTTTGCGTGGGCACAGGATGAGCTTAAGCCAATTACTGGTGAGGGTGAGGAGTCGTTTGGCGGCTGGGGCGCCACACTCGTTGATTCATTAGACACGCTGTGGATCATGGGGCTCAAAGAAGAATTTGAAGAGGCCGTGGAGGCCGTCGCGGTCATAGATTTTGGCAAGACCAATCTGACCACCGTAAGCGTCTTCGAAACGACTATCAGATACCTCGGCGGACTGCTGAGCGCATACGACATGAGCGGGAAGCCTATCTTGCTTAAGAAGGCGATACAACTTGGAGAGATGCTGTATCGAGCGTTCGACACAACGAATAATACACCCTTGGGCTGGCTGAATGTGGAGGGCGTCAAGAAGGTACCCAGGCTGGCCTTCTCCGCCGAGAGCAACATCTGCTTTGCCTGTCTCGGCAGCTTAACCATGGAGTTCACGCGGCTGGCGCAGGTTACGTCAGAGCCAAAGTACTACGACGCTGTTGCGAGAATCACCATAATGATGGATCGCGCGCAGGATAGCACAAGGCTTCCTGGCCTATGGCCAACTATGGTGAATGCTGCGAAAGAAGAATTTAATCAATCTCGCTTCTTCTCCATCGGCGCGCTTGCTGACAGCACGTATGAATACTTCCCCAAGATGCATGCGTTGCTGGGCGGGGTGGAACCTGCGTACGAGAAGTTGTACCGCGACTCTGCGGAGATGATTGACGCATATATGCTGTTCCGCCCCATGGTGCCTGACAAGTACCACGGAGAAGACCTACTCCTGTGCGGCGATGTTTTCACACACGGCGAAGAAGCCAAACTCGACCCAACCATGCAACATCTTACGTGCTTCATTGGCGGCATGTTCGGTCTAGCAGGTCGTCTATTCTCTGATCCTGATCACGTAGATCTCGGCGCGAAGCTTACCAAGGGATGCATATACGCCTACGCCGCCACACAAACTGGTATCATGCCCGAGACATTTGATATGGTCGCCTGCGACTCCCGGAAAACCTGTCCCTGGAACCAAACGGCTTGGGAAGAGGGTGCGCTGTATCATTATAGCAGCAAATATGTCGAAAGTTTCAACGATGCAGTGGAAAAGTACAAGATCCCACCTGGCTTCACCAATATCCGCGACAAGCGGTATCTGCTCAGACCCGAAGCCATCGAGTCTGTCTTCATTATGTACCGCATCACTGGTGACCGGCAGTATCTCGATGACGCGTGGGACATGTTCACCAGCATTGTTGCCGCAACTCGAACGCCATATGCCAACGGACAGGTCCGAGACGTCACTTTCGTAGCGCCAAAAGCTCCAGGCCGGGCCTACAAATCTGTTCCTGGTGTCGGCGATGTACCTTACACGCGCGACGACAACATTGAAAATAAGATGGAGAGCTTCTGGACGGCAGAAACATTGAAGTATTTCTACCTCATCTTCAGCACGCCTGACATGATTAGCTTGGATGACTGGGTGTTCAATACTGAGGCACATCCGTTCCGGCGGCCGAAGCCGAGATAGAAGAAGGTTGAGGATGATGCTGGGGCTAGGGCTAGGGTTGATGAACAGCGGAAATGGGATCGCTGGTATCGCCTGACTTGAGTGAGGAAACACCTCATCATCGCTATCGTATTGTGGTAGTGCGTAGCCGGAGTATTGCATTGGCTGGCGTTGTATGGTAAGCTTGGATAGCTTTGATGAATTCTTTACACTACATTTTACGTTGTCACTCTTCGCTTCTTTTCTGACCGCGTTCCTTTCTCCGGCTGCCAACGTTTCTTTGATCAGGAGGCACCACCAAGCTACTCCGTCCTCCTCCGCTTGTTGCGATACTCGTCCTCACTCGTAGGTATTGTGAAGTCTTCCTTCCTCTTGATGCCTTCGCTGTTTCCTTCCACAGCCAAAGTCGTCTCTACCGGCCCAACTGTCACGACCGGCTCATCCGCCTCCATCTTCTCAATCGCGAGGATCTCCTCTTTCTTCAACATCTCCTCCCTCTCCCTGATCTTCCTAATCTCTCCCTCATCCATAAGGTCCTCATCCTTCAACATCTCCTCTCCTTCAGAGTACTCCTCCGGCTCCGGCGTATTACCCACCACCGTCTCGAAAACCACCTGAAAACTCCCTTGTTTAACGAACCGTGAATCAACAAGCCGATCCCACTCCTGAGCCACATACCTGTACTTGTCTTTCGTACTCAGCCTCGGGTTCACATGCACCACTCCCCTCGACACCGCCAGCAAGATGGGATCTTGGTACGAAGACAACTGCGGATGGTCTTTCAACATGCCCTGTATAGCACCCCAGGCTGTCTCGTAGATCGCAGTCCGTGTACCCGTATATTTCCCTTCAAGACCAAGATACCACGAGTCATCCGTCCAGCTAGGCCAGTAGTCTCGCACAGCCCCGGTCTTCCCTTTGCGCAGGCGCTCGAGGAAGCCAGATGCTGGAAACGCGTCGCGTGACGTGCGGACGCCTGTTGGAGGCAAGACACGGGTTGGTGTGTCTAGTGACGACCCGTACACGAACGCGAGACCGGAGTCTTTCCAAGCGCGGTCGAACGCCGGTTTGACAATCTCATCGTGCCAGATTTTGAGGAATTCAGGGTCGATACACGGAACCATGCTTGCGTGGGGGAAAATAACGAAGAGATGCGGACACGATCCCATTCCCTCTGTCATCTTGTCTTGACTGGGTGTTGTGCTTCCGAACAGCAACGCGCATTGCACGTCTCGAGCCGTGACTGAGTAGCCGTGGTGGGACAGGTAGATGGCGATGCGGTGCGTGTCAGCTTCGTCGATTGGGTTCACGGATTTCAGGTTCAGTGTGTGGGGGATCCATGGGGTTTGCTCCCAGGTTAGGCGTTTGGCGAAGGCGAGGGAGGTGGGGAGGCAGAAGGAGAGGGCGCTGTAGCATTGTTCGGGGTTTACGGTGGGGGACAGGGCGGAAAGGCCGGGAATGGATCGCTCGTGTGTGGAGGACATGGTGGTGTTGGAGTTGATGAGGTCCAGATGGACGAACGGCTACGCAGGAGGGGTTTTGTTAAAAACGTTTCGATAGAAAGTTTCGGACTATGGGGTAGGCGTGAGAAGTGACTAGAGCATTGTGGGTATGTATGTTTTGCCTGGAGACGTAGTGAATGGTGTAGAGGTTACTAGCCGATGACGCACATGGTCTTCAAGATTTGAGACAGCTGAGTGAAATAGTTTTGTGCTTGTATATCCTATCAGAATCGCCATCCGCCAGAATTGCGCTGGAAATCAACAGCAGAGAATCCTGCATAATAAATAGCCTCTCGAATAATTCGCTATATCCTTTTTGATGTGACAAGAATGATAGAGCAGTGAATCAACAACCGGGCTGCGTACAGTCGATGGTAACTAGTGTACTTCACATCTCAACGGAGATGTTTCTCAGCTCCCATATACTTAGTAAGAATAATTAAAGGCCGTGGCAGTGGAGAGAAGTGACTCTCAAAAGGATTTTCCTGGTGTACGTGGTACGACGCAAGAAGCTCGATCGTTCCTCGAAAGGTACTAGGAACGTGTTTGAGATTGATCTAGGCTGTGAGCCTTGCTGTAGAAGCTGATACACTTCGACTTGAAGACATTGTGACTGAAGGATACAGCGCTTTGATTCTGATGAGACTTCGAGACGTAACGGATGCTTCGTAGAGTAAAAGACCTCAGCGTTTGAGAGTGGACTGATGAGCTAGACGAGCTTGAGGTTAATTGACAATCACGACCTTGCTGCACACGTTCCGAGAGATGGGTTCCTGGATACATGCGCCATTTGGAAACTGGACTATACTGGCTATGTTGATGGCTCGTTGCTATATTGCATGACTTGTATGCAGAGCGCTTGCCTGCAGATCTGAGTCAGCGTAGAAGAATGCCAAGATGGCTGCCTGGATGTCAGCACTAAA